AAAAGAAAAGAAAAAAAAAAAAAAAGAAGTGAGCATTAAAACCCGAGGAAAGACTGGCACAGTACACGCTTCTCATGCCGGATTCCTGATATCATCAAATGCATCCACAGGTCAGTGCACAGGACACCCTGTGCCATCAGATGTGACAGAAATACTTGTATCGGCTCGTGGAAGTCAGCACTCCCTGTGCGATAAGCCGAGCCAGCGGAGGAGGAGAGGAGAGGCGTTCTGAGAACGTTGTCACACCCACGCGGAGCAAATCAAAGTGCAATGTGAAGGAAGAGAGAGAAAAGAAGCGTTGATGAATTTTTAGTGTGGGTGCGTGTTTGCTAATCAGCGATGCAGCAGAGGTGTATTCTCACTCAGATCAGTCTGGACTTGAGGAACATATAAGAGTACACGGTGTTTTTAAAGGAATGTTTGTCACATGGACACCGTTGAATTTATTGCTGGTTCAATAAATCAAGTGAATATGCTGGTAACTGATGTTAGTTAGGACACAGACTATAGCCTGGTCTGCAATAGAGTGCTGCAGGGATGAAGGGTTTCTGTAGGCTGACCCCAGAAGGTAGCATCCTACTGGTTTCATCCATTGTTTTGATAAGATTTTGGATTATTGCAGAAAATGAGCTCTGTGGCAAACAAACGTTTATGATACTTGCACGTTTGTTCAGCAAGATAATCTTCACAAGTGAAGACCACTTTTATCATGTTTGTTTAAAGCGCGAAGGCAATGGGCAGAAGTAAAGAGAGGTATGTCGCAAAACAAAACTTTGAAATCTCTTCAGCTTGTGTTAAACACAGACTTTATTTCAGGCATCCGACCAAAAACAACCTATTGACTTCCACACAAAGAGGAACCGGAAGCGCAAAAAAAATGCTGACTCATTTTTGTTTTTTTTGGGACTCATTCCTGCAGCGCTCTGTGGAGAACCCACAGCTCCAGCTTGGCTAGCCTGTGCCCGAGGACAAGCTGTTATGCGTTGTTGACTGGTGTGGTATAAATAAACAGGTAAGAGCTTCCCGGGCCTATACGAGGCGCGGCCGCGAGGAGGGCTGTAAGCTGAGGTACGAGCCTTAAGAACGGATTAGGTAAAGCTGCTATTAGCAAGGGCTTCCAGATTCAGGGGCTGTTTACTTAAAAGCCTCATCACTCTGAAGCTGCTCCAGAATGAACGAAGCAGACTCTGGGGGGGGGGGGGAGAGACACAATGGGCATGAGATAACCAGGCCCACGAAGCGTTTCGAGCGACAACCCCGCGGGTCAAATTGACGGGCGTTAATTGGCCATGCTGGACGGTAATAGCTGGTCTCATAAGCCGCCCCCCCCCCCCCCATTATCACAATGATAATGAATTCTATGTAGGTTTGCATGTACAATCAAGGCTGGACCAGTCTGCTCAAACACAGATACAAATGAACCTCTGGCAGCCGGCATCACTCACTCCAAACACCGTGCGGTGGCAGAGAACGACGGAGACGCCGATGTGAGGTTGGTTTTTTTCCACCAAACGACCCAATGAAGAAGAGGGGGGGGGGGGGTTTGTTAAACATATGCCGCCATCCGCCCCGAGACCGGCTTCTTATTAGAAGAACTGCACGGCCTAATTGGCATGAATGTTTGATGAACCCCTCAAAACCGGCAGACACACATCAGGGCTGCCTCTGCCCGACACGTCTGGCGTGACAACAAAGAGCTGAAGAAAACAAAAGACACCCCTGTCCTCTACCCGGCTCACCGAGGGGATAGTGTTTGGGGACAGCTGATACGAGCAGGGCCCGGGATATGTTCGCCCATTGTTTTCTAAACCAACACAATAGAGGGAGGATTGAATTACAAAGATGCAGCCGGGTGGAGATGAATGGAGCGGACTGTGGCTGGATGAATCATGAAGTCCACTTCAGATTGCTCTAATTATCAGTGAATGTATTACACCTCGGGCAAAGCTACAGAGCCAGGCCTCGGGGGTTTGTTCCTCATCGCTCTTCAGCCGATCGTGTTGCGCCGCGCCTTCCCCTCTGGCCTGCTGCTCTTTGATTTGATTTCAAACATGGAGCATCAGGTTTAACGCGGTTCGATTTGTAACAAAAGTTCATGTGAATCTTTTGTCACATCAGGCAACGGTGATGTCAAAATGGAGCCCAGCTAAGTATTGTCTTGAGTGAGAAAAATGGGTAAAAAAGCAACTAAAAACAAGTGATTGAGTCACCGGGTCGGCTGAAATACTCGGCAGCAAGTGAGCTTAACTGTTGACTTACACAACCGGAGCAGCATTAGTCTTTAGGTAGTCTACCAGTTAAACCCTCTTACAGCCACCAGTTACACTAGAAACATCACTGCCACTAAAAAGTATTATGGATTTTGAGGAGTCCGCAATTTCCAACCGTGCACCTATAGTGATATTTTGCCTTTGAAGCTTGCATTATTTTCATGCATTTTTAATGCGTATTTTTACAACCATCAACAACGTATGACGTTGTAATACGGCGACAAATAGCGGTTTTGGGGTCGCAGAGCTGTCCACATTTCGTCTGTCTCTTCTTCCCTGTCACGTTGCTCCTATTCTCTCTCTCCACCATGTGGCTGGCCATGTTGGGAACATCACTGGGGAGATTCTTTCCACAATTAACTCACCCTCTCCCCCACTGGCTCACACTTCAGCATTCCACAGTCCCCTGGAAGGACACTCCCAGTGCCCTTGCAGACGGACGGGGGGGGATGTACAGTAGGCTGCGTTGGCATTAAGCGAGCGGTGGCGGGCTTGGTTCTCTCTCCCGGGAGCTACCTCAGACTTGGCGCTGCCTGTCCCGTCCCGGGGCAGACACAACAAACTGTGTCCCGCATGTCCAACGAGCCGGGACAACCTCAGCGTGGAGGAATCCATCTTGTCAAAAAAAAACTCCGTCGGTAACCCGAGCAGACCATGGGTGTTCCACGTTCTTGTGAATTAAGATTTCATCCATCCTAAATGTCAAGGAGGTTGGGCCCCGACGCAGGATGACTTCTCGCCCTTGATTTCCACTATGTGGAGGTGTATTACCTATATTAGTGGACTTATTTATGAAGTACTATCCTCAGCAATTATTGGAAAAAGATGCCCCGATTCACCCCCATTTCTGAGCATCCCCTGGTAAAAAAGGAACAGTTTAGAAGCTCCACTGGGTATGACTATGATGGATAATTACTCTATACAACGTGACAGTTCTTTGTGTCGTAGCACTATATGCTGTAACAACACATCCTTAGCCACACGCCATCTTCGACAGGAAGGGGTTTGGGACTAAATGATCCCCAAAGCCACAGGTGGTTTTTCAAATCACGCGTCAGCTTTTTAGTCAAATCATTTAGAAATGCGAGTAACATTTGAAGCATCTCACCTTTCACCAGCCGCTCCGTGGTGGACTGTTTCTCCGGTTTGTCTTTGTCCTTATCCTTCCCCGACATCTTCGCTTCGGCTGAGGGCTACTTTCGGGATCAGATCTTGAGGGGCTCTGCTGCCAGCTGGCCCGGAGACGAGCTAGCACCTCCGCCTGGTGGCCGCGCGCTCCGTCCTGACTGGCGGTGGTGGTCGGAGGCTCTAACGTACCGGTACAGATTAGCTCGCGAACGGAGCTCGAGCTCTTGTTGTGGGTCGACTGGCTAATTACCTAGCTAGTTTGCGGCAACATTAATGCTAGCGAGTAATTACGGGACAAAGTAGTAATTCTGACACAAAAACACTGGAGCAATGTAATACACATGAAAGAAGAGAGGCGAGCGTTTGCTGTGTAATAGTTGTCTAGTCCAAATAATACCTGGAGGGAGGCTGCCGCTGTCAGATAATCCGATTTAGTTACTCTTTTCTTCAGCTAGTTAGCCAGCTAATATCTTAACGTGTCGGCAAAGACAGCGACGGAAAACTGGCGTTTCATCTTCTACGTGCGGCCGGTTATTGTAGAAAACAGCCTTGGTTTTACTTGGTGTAGCTAAACAGCGAGAGTCCCTCCAAGATGCAGACAGCGTCTTCACAGTGTATCCTCCCCCTCAGATTAAACTCTAATCTGACAGCAGTGAGGAGACTTCCTACAACATGGTGGAGCCGATGTCACGTGACTATGGAACTATAACGCGTGCTTCAGGGTGCGTCCCAAAATACAAACCTTTTCTAGTGAGGTGACCTGCTTTTAGTCTTTGCTTCTCGGATCATAAAAAGGGGCAAACGCCTCGAGATACTGCTGCAGTGCCGCTAAAGCGTCAACGCATGCGGTGTGTCCAATGCGCCCATAGTGCCTGAAAACAGAGATCATGTTTGTACGTTTAGCTTTTGTTCTTTGAATTGCTATTTTCCCTTCCTGTATTTCTGATCTGTAATACGGCCGATGGGTACCCGATTAGGGTAATGAGACCGGTACCGTGGTTATGAATCGATCCTCTTCAAGACGAGTCACGATTACATACAGTGATTATACAGTGTTAAACATGCGGGAGTCAGAGACACGCATTCAGTCGCAGAAGGTGTAGTTGTGTAACGTTTCAGGAGTTTTCCTGATTTCGCCCAAATGTATCTGAAAGTTTTATTGAATAAACACAAAAACATCATGTTCAACTCCACCAATTCAATTGTGAGCTGAAAACAAAGACAAGATATTTTGCAAGTGACTCTACCTGAAGCTCGTTTACGCCACACAAGAAACGCCCACTCACACGAGAGCCCGCTGTTAGTGATTTAGTACCGTTAATATTGGATACAAATAGAGTAGAGAAGCATTATGTAGATATATTTTCATGAAACATTGTTATGTGTCTTAGCACTGTACATCACATCCTGGCACCATTACACTGGATTAAACCCCTCATTCATTATCTCCCCAGGAACACTAGATGGCTGTCTCGCTTCATTTTCAAACATCTATTGCTCAGTGCAAAACCGCAGCCTACTCTTTACGAGACATGCAACCGCATGAGCCAACCAAGTGACATTAAAGGGAAAAGTCAGATGTGCAATAATAAAGCAACTACATAAAAGCAGATACAAAAATCTGAGATTTATTGAACTTGAAAATAGCATTAAATTCCACTGAAACATTCATGATAAGTAAATACCTACAACATTACACTGAAAATATCACCAACCACATATAAAACCATGGATAGAGGCTCAGTTTGAACGTAAAGAGCAGCTCAACAGCTACACCAACAAACAAGGTGTTAGAAGAGTCATCAGACTGGACTAAGATCAAGGCCATGCACAAACTAATTATACATTGTTAGTTTCTTTTAGAAATGCTGGTTCGTCGCGATTTTGATGTTTTAGCTTCAGCCATTTCTGTACTTCTGTGTGCTTCGTTCGTCCTGCGGTCTACTTCTCGTCGTCACCGAGATGTGACACGAAACATTTCAGAGCCCTGTTAATTCACCAATTAAGAAAAAAACAAAACAATAGAAGCGACTGTGTGTCAGTGTGTCGCTCTGTCTCGGTGTTTCTGCTTCTCGTTGGGGAAGCAATGCCCGACAGTCAGAAGCCGCCTCTTCCTACCATCTGGGTGAACATGAAATCGGCAGCAGGAGGAGGAGAGGACCAACTGCTCTGCTGGCTGGGAGGGGGGGGCTAACCTCAACAGCTGAGCATAGAGAAACAGGCCCAGGTTAGTCAGCAGGACGCCATCAACGTCACTTCAAGTGTAGGCACTCGTGGCTCTTAAACAGTGCACAGCGACAGCGGTTGGGAGGAGAGAAATAAATAAAATGGTTCCTCCAAAACCTGGTTGACCTTTTGAGTCCCTCCGGAAGTAAAATCTTCCTTGCATATTTACAAAAGGAGTGTTTGAGCTCGACTTCACAAATGGATATGTTGGGGAACGGTTTCACGGTTTACTTGCATAAAAAGAAAGAAAGAAAGAAAGAATGGTTGAACACGGAGTGGAAGTCTTTGGTGCTCAAGTGTGAAACTCAAAAGAGCGGTTGCCGTAGTCTCCTGGTCTCCGATCGAGGAGGATTAAAGACAAAGGCCATTATTAAAAACCAAAAGGGAGTGTTTCATTACGACGGGAACCCACAGAGGAACAACACATGTCAGAAGTGTACTGTATGGCTATACAAGAAAAATAAATCCTTCATTTCAGGCAACGGGGCCTCGTCATTCGTTACAAAAGTTCAGCCACTAATCCTCTCCTTCAACTCCCTTTTTTCTTCCACCGAGACGGCCCGAGCGCGACAGTCAGCCATCTTGGGACCGAGCAGGTCTGGACTCTCTCTTGATGACGCGTCCGCATATTGGGAAAGTGACGCGCCAACCACAGCCCTTCTTTTTACACACACGAGTTAATCAGTCTATCATTAAAATAACTCTATTAGCACTATGTATCGTAAAACAGACGCCGACACTCAAATACCTCCATGTACCTTTGTGAATTACTGCACAGTAATTAGGGTCTCTCTTAGCTTGCATATACATTACCAGTAAGTTAGTATGCCTGCGGGTGGAAATGACTTATCAAACCCTTTTTTTTATGACTTTACAGTTCCATAAAAGCTTGAGGAACCAATTTTGAAGGGAGGCGAGAGACGGGTGGGCACCGGCAGGAGACAGAGAGAGTCCCAGCTCAGAGACAGCCTGCGTCGGGCCCAGCTAAAGCGAGGACCGATCTCGTCTTCTTTTTGTTTTGTTTGTTGGGAGCGTTAACGGGAGCGAGAGGTGAGAGCGGATCCACAGAGATCATCGGAGATTCAGCTGAACATGACCAGACCGGCCAGCGCGGGTCTGCCCTCTTGCGTTGTGATTGGTCGTATTCCAAGAAAGGCAGACGTCGTAGGAAAAATAAATCGTTCTCAGAGGAGTTCCAGTAGTGTAAAGTCTGCGACACGCACTCCTCTTGGAGCGGCAACTGCCTTTATCCATCTACTGCATGATGAAGCCAGGCTGCGGGGCCATACGGGGCGGGGGCCGCTGAGGCACAGCCGGTGGGTACTGAGAGAGGAAGTGGTTTGGGTAGCCGGAAGGGACGTTGGGGAAGGGTTGGCCCGTCCTGGGAGGAATCGGCGGGTACGGCGATGCCGAGTAGAAGGCTGAGGGAGGCTGGGGGGCGGCTGTCGCAGCCGGATTTAGAACCGGGGCCGGCTGGGATGGCGGGAGTGGGGGTTTCCTCCTGGGCTGGGCGACGGGGGAGGAGCCGCTGCCGGCCTCGCTGAGGAGGGACGAGGTGGAGGAGGGTTTTGCCGCTGCCGACACATCCTGAGATCGGGAGTTGGGGACGTACGCCTGGGGGAGCCGGTGACCGTTTAGCACCATCTCCTGCAGCTTCTCGATCTTCACCCGTCTCAAGTGGGCCAGCTTTCTGTTGCTCTGGTAGCTGTCGATGAAGGAATCCAGGGTCATGTCGCCATCCAGGAAGGAGTCAGCCATGTTCTGTTGGCAGAAGTAAAGAGATGTGTAACAGTTTTAGGGAGAGAGAATGGAGACATCCCTTTTCACTTGATACGTATAGTTAAAAGAAATAAAGATAAAAGCAGTGCTACACATGCAATGTTGATCTGAGGCAAGATTTAAACCGGGAACATTAACGCTGCGCACCGTGTGACCCATCACCACAACAATGATCTCCAGCGGCAAAAGAAAGAAAAATACAAAACATCCTCACGGTGAGGTCAAGGTGCCGCATTGTCCCCGGGAGTGGGCATAGGGGAAAGCTTCCCAGGATGCACCGGGGGGGGGCAAAGGATTCACAGAGTCTCATTTGATGCATCCTCAGTAGTGTTGTTGTTCTTCACATGGCGTTCTAAAAAACATTTCGACTGTTTGTTTCTACACTTGTTGCCGAATTATTATCACACGAGAATTAGTGATTCTACCGTGAATGACCCGGTGTGTGCAATCAATCAATATATCGCTTGTGCAAATCCTGCTGGTTCGGCCAATATGATGCTAGTCCCTTGGCTGACCTACCAATAGCGTGTGGTGGTAAACTTCAGCACTCGAATGTTAATAAATGACATCACGAAATTGTATAAAAATAAAGGAGTTTTTTCTCAGAGTATTACACCCCCCCCTTACCATCTTCAGCTCCGTAACTATTTATTTATTTTTTAAACCTAAAATAGCCTTAATGTGCAGTCGTGGACAGGTCACTATTGCAGGTATAAAAACTGACCTCTAAGTTAGTCAGTCATTCTGCTGTTTGGATTTGAACAATGACGCGTTTGTAGGGCATCAGCAGGTATATGAATTACTGACGTCAGTCACCGAGGGACACATGAAGTCATCCACTGTGAGCGGTGCAACGCTTACCTCCGTCTCCTCCTCTATTTTGGCTCCCTCGGCCTGCAGCAGGGCCAGCAAGACGTCCAGGGAGGAGCTTCCTGACTTGTGGTCTGTTAAATAAGACAGAGGAACGGCACAAATGTCATTATTCTGACGGACCCCAAGCTGAGCAGCACTTAACACATATTGAACAGATGTAAAACCAGATGGTGACACAATGACTACGATTTGGCCTGCAACTTTTCAACGGTTAGTATTAAAACTAAAGAATTTTCTTTTTATGTGGGTCCGGGGGAATCCATCCATATAAAGGTACGCCCATTTGCATCCAAATCTGTTTTTTCCTCTACTCCTCGTGTAAAATTTGGGGGGAGATTTGGGAGAACATCTCTGGACCAAACCGGAAAAAAAGTTACTTTGGCACATTTTTGATGTTGCATTCCGTTTAGCTTCAGCTGGGCCATCAAAGTTTGTTCAAATGTTGTGGGAAGGGCTTATACTACACACAAAAAAGTATTTTCTCCTCAACGCTTTTGTGCCATGTGACGTCTGTGAGTGGCAATGACCAATTTGGTGCCTTTTGGCCAAAAGGTGGCGCTGTAGCAGCATCATCTATCCTGCTGCACTGGTGACTTTTAATGCTCACTGAATGAGACACTTTCAAAAGAAAAACTTCATTGTGATTATGCATTAACGCAATGAACAGAGTTATTTCACTGTTTTGATAGCTTTTGTGACGAAAGCTCTTTGTCTGTGAAACTTTGCTGCAACAACATCTTTAACATAACAATACAACAATTCATCACCTCTTTCAACACACTCCAGTCACAAGAGACTGGTGTAGCGTGTACACAGATGCAGTCTCAATGAAGTGTGATCAACGGTTCAATTAATGAAATATTTTTGCCAAGCAACCCCCCCCACAAAATAATCCCTCCGTAACTTAAACTGAAATGAACTGAATAATACAGTACTAATAATGGGCCTGTCACAACAAAGCTGAGGCAGGATATGTAAAATGTGGCCGTCTCGGTCCTGTGACGAACAGCCACAACGCCTCTGTTTGCTGTGGACTTGCAAAGCCCCACAGACTCAACAGAAACTGGCGTGGTGTCTCTAAAGGAGGGAGTCTGTTTTGTTTTGTTTCCTAAGCAGTGCTGAACATTAACACCGACTAGGGCGGGTATCACATATGAACAATTAAGACCAATGGCACTGGGTACAGAACTGTCAACTCACCATCAGTCCACCAAGCCTAGACACGATAGAGTGGATCTCTAACTCCAGCAGAGACGACAGTCTAACCTGATGTGCCACCATCGACTCCCCTCTATGTGGGGCCACCTGAACCCTTTTTTCATACGCGTGTGCCGGCTGGGCTTGACTCCGTTTGACTCGGCATGTAAACCCAGCCCAGGCCAGGATTTGCATCTCACTTACAACAGGGCTACCTGGTTGAAGGTGTAACCATGGCTGCGACTGGCAGTCAAAGGAGCAGCTGTAAACACATTTTATTTCCTATATTCCTCACAATAAGAGTCTCCTCTTATTTTGTTATTTAAAAGCTTTCATTATGAAGCAGCAAAAAAACAGGAAATGTTCATCAGCAGCAACTTAACGCCACTCCTACGCAGCTGAAAGCAAACATGAGGGTAAAACAAAATGGATATCTGAAAGTAACAGTGACTAGTAAAAAATAGAGGTCAGTGAGGTCATTAAGTGTTGTTGCAGCTGGCTGGTTAGCTAGGTAGTGCGAGAGTGAGGCGCTCCAACAGAGGTTCTGTTAGACCCAGAGCTACCACTGTCTGGCTCATTTGCTATAACCACTGTAACAAGATAGCTAACGAGCCAGCTGTATGCTAGTTAGCTAGCTCGCTAACTCCACCATGCTTTAGTGCTGCGCTGGTTACAGAAAATTAGCCAATCAAAGTGGTCACTCACCGAGCCGTAGCGGTGTGCTTTCCTACACTGATGACAGTGTGGACGAGGAACAAAGTTGTTCAATTTGACTCATTCGCTCTGGCTCGTTTGTCGTTACTGCTAAAGCTCACCTCAGTGAGTCAGGGACTTGCTGTAAGTCAAACGGACGCCGCTCTGACATCCTGCTACGATTATTTGAATGCGAATGACCCGTTTCCTCGTATTCTATTTCTACAGTGAGCATTCTAAAACGTTCACAATTACAATGCCAACATTGTTTTAGCAGTTATAATGTAATATAATTGATGTTGTAAAATACCACTCAAAACCACTAATGTCAACGTAATGGTGACAGGCTTAAAGTTACTGTGAGGAACTTTTAACTGGTTATGAAACAGTTCATTTAATACTGATGGCTCTATAAGACCTACACAAGTAAGCAAGACCATCAGCGGAGAACAATGGCTATTTCTAAACACTTATTCCTAATGCTCGTCATCGGTGCCACAGAGTGCAGTAAAATTAGTTTTCTAAAAGGGACTCTGGTGTTTGGAAACACTACCACTTTCATCCACAGGGACCGCCAAAATCAACATAACATTTTAATTCTTTGTGGTAGCTTTAATTTAAATTTCTAATATGTTTCATGGTTCATTAAGTGTTAATAATGCTAAATGAGTGCTGGCGGTTAAGTGTGTGAAAGGCAGAGGACAATAAGAAAGCCATATGTTAGCAAAAAAGACTGGCCAAGCTACCTCCACACTTTCTTCAAGAGCGATATTTGCTTTTGAGTACAACAATGAAGTAGCGCTGCAGTTAAAATGTCACGACTTTATCATCTCAGTGTGTCACCTTTGACTTCAGCAATAACATCGACTGTCTCCTTCAATAAGGAAAAATGGGAAATAAGAGCTTAGAGGTAGCTCATTCACATTTTTATCAGTACGGACTAAAGATCCGGTGATAACTCTGGTAAAATTATCTAATTTTAATGATCTAGCTTTGCAATAAACATCTGCCCTGAAGATGTAGTGCGTGACAACTACACACAAGGAGTATTAGGGGGCGCCAGACCCATTTCCTGCTCCAAGTTTCCTGTATATTTCCAGTGAATATTATCTGTTCCTCCAATAGAAGGCCAGAAAGTAACAATATAACTAAACCTCAAGTAATTTTACTACGTCACTACTCCAGCACTCTTGCAGTTTAACAAGGTTTAAATAACTAGCTAAATGCCTGAATTACACAACAAGCTTGTCAAACCGGCTGCAGTTCGCCCTGTAACGTTTAGCACGTCAGAGTCCATAAGAACAAGATCCCTGATAATGAAAGACTGCATCACACAGAACAGAAACAGTGAGCGGCAAAGCACTAATGATTAACGTTGCACAAGGAGCAGCTCGGCCACTTTTCTTGTTTCATGTGTCGGCAGGCTGACCTGTGAGAGACAAACATGAAAAAGATCTTATGCAACGTTGTATAGTTTCCACCCTGGATGGCCATGACGAATCATGAGCCGAGAAAAATAGTTTTGAGAGATTCCACAAACAACCATTAGCAAGACCGAGATTTCTTGTCAAATTGCCATATTAACTGAGGATTAAAAAAAATGTGTCTGCGCTAGATGCCCCAAAGAAAACCAACTCATGTTGGTGTGCCAAATTTCACTGGCATATTTTGATTGAGGGGGAAAAAAGTTCCAAGGCGTAACGAGGCTCCAGCAGCATTCCCCTCACAAAGTTGCGATTCTCTGGCCGAGCGGAGAGCCCCGCCGGGAGACCACGACACAAAGTCTGGGCCTGGAGATCATGAGACAGCTATTTAGTAAATGAATCCACATCGACCCCTTTGCTGTCATTCTCTCTCTCTCCCGCCCTCCCACCTTCCTTGCCTGCCGGCCCCCGTCATCCACCACCCACCACTCCCTCCCGCTCACTGTGGCTGTTTTACACCAGCTCGCCTGGCAGCACAAAAGGCCCCACTGTGGGCCGTGGATGCTGGATGGTTGTGGTGATGGGGCTGCCCCTGCCTCCTTCTGGCCTCTGGAGTCCAATGGACAGTGAAGGGTAAGGCAGAGGCCACACATTTCCTGGGAGAAAAAGGTTAGGGAGGGCAGTGGTGCTGGGGTAACTGCATGCAAAAAAAAAAACACAAAAAAAACAGCAAGTTACTGTAGGTTGGATCCTTCATCTGGGTCAAACGGCTCCATTTCTCTTGGCTGCGAGCGTCGCGGTCCTTCCCCAGCTGCTCTGCACAGAAAATCCACAACTACGACGGCTGGTGCATGAGAGGCGGGGCGAAGGAGGGGGGGGCACCGGGTAACCTACATTTGACAAAAGCCATCGCTTTCTGACAACACACTGCTGCATCGGTGTGTTGAGTCCTGTATGAGGAGGGGCTTTGGATGTTGCGCCGCTTCAGGTCGTGAAGCAAAGACTTAAGGGAAAGGTCAACGAGCAAAACGTATGCTACTTCCCAGTAGAAACACTCGAATAGCCGATATTTAAATCATCAGGTAAGAGTTGTAAAAACAAATGCACTAACAGCTGAATGGTTATTTTCCTTCCTCCGGTCATGTGAATGAGACCGAGGGTTGGGAGGGGGGGGCTGAAGGAAACGCTAGCGTGCTTTCTTCATGGGCCCCATAATGCAGAAGATGGCCGGGAGATCCAGGTAGCTTCTATACCAGGCATGGGCAAACTACGGCCTGCAGGCCATATGCGGCCTGTTAGGCTTTTTAATCCGGCCCGTTAAATATTGGTACAAAATTGTCCAAACTATAATAGAGACTAGGGCTGGGCGGTATACCGGTTTTAATTTCCCGTATGATATAAATTCTTCACACACACCGTCATACCGCCGCACAGCCGAAACAACTGCAGTCTGACTTCAACACGCAGCTAAATGTATTGTTCGCGCTGAAAGCTCTGCAGCCGGAGCTAGTTCTCTTATATGTATTGAGAGGGAACCCTAGTCATGGTCATAACTTTATAACACAACAATTAATAACCCACAACTAACGCTCTTTAACAGAGCAAAACACCACGACACAACAGTCTGTGACACAAACAATTTCTAACACTAATAATTGTACATTTATAAAACTTCACCGTCGAACTGCATGCTGGGTACAGCTCACTCACGAGCCTGCTAGCACAACAGTCTGCTAACAGCTTGGAGAGGCTCCGTGGCTCCAGTTACGTTACATTAAAGAACAGAACAGAGCGATGCAGGATGAACAAAGACAGACCGGAGATGCACCGATAGAGTTTGACACATATGCAACGCTGATTACCGTGTAATATGTGTGGTATTTGTTATAAATGTACGTTGGTACATATAAGCTGTACATGGAGGGGCTTAAGACCCAGGGGAATGTAGGTGAAGGAAACAGGAAGAGACGGAAGACACGCCACACAAACAGCTGTTCACCGCTCGTCACGATCCTGCAGACCAGTGATTCTCAACTGGTGGTACATTGCGGACCCGTTTTCAGTGGGTCGCGGGACTTTGCTTTATGCAGCGGAGTTATTCACGCTCCTCTCCAGCATTTACGGCACTTGTACAGCGGTGCAGGAAAAACACCGACCAATGCGTTCTAAATCACGTCACATGATGCAGTTTAGCCGATAAAATAAGGGTATTCTGATACGTTTCCTGACGCCAGTGAGATGTACCCACACCGTGACACAGGGGGAGAGACAAGGAAAGACATTACAGAGCAGAGCTCTAATAATGTTAGATGTGAAAGTCAAATATCTGTATGATCCCTTCAAAAAAAGCAAATTCCAAAAAACACCTCAGATCGGTTCTGAGACTTGACACAACCAAACTGACACCAAACGTTGATGCACTGACAAAAAAGGGTGACCACCAACACTGTACCCACTGAAATTAAATGTTAAAAGTTCTCTTTACTTTTTCGGTCATGGCTTTTACTTGTAATCTATATTAGTTCACACAAACACTCCATTCATCTGCTACTGGCCCGGCCCGTCTCTCAAATTTTAAAACTCAATGTGGCCCCTGAGCCAAAAAGTTTGCCCACCCCTGTTCTATACTCATGCACCACTGCAACGTATCGTCATAAAACAGTTTGTATGATATCTTATGGAAAGTTACTCCTCATTTTTCCTACGTTTTCCTACGAAAGCCAGCAACTCATGTCAATTTCCGCTTGTTACATGCAAACAGCCTTTTAATGGACGGAGATCTCAATTTTGATGTGGTGTCATAATTGAACTCAATGTTTCTCAAAAAAAAAAAAAAAAAAAAAAAACTGGAACTTTATACCAAAAAGGCTGCAGACCCCTGTTACACATACTGGAAGCAGGCTTTTCAGAGTCTGCATGCCTCGCAGGGCAGAAGGCAAAGTCAAACTTTTATCAGCGTGGCAGAGCAGTCAGCATACTATTTTGAGCTGGCTGCTTGGCAACCGCTGCATGCGTCACCAAGGTCACAAGAACTGTCCCTCCCTCTTCTTTACACACTAGGAGGTACTGTGAAGGTGCGCCTATTAAGGGTTCTGACAGCCCTACAAGCGCTTATGAGATCTTGCAGCAGAGGTGCAAATCAGATCTGGAACTTGCTCAACCCCCAAACAGTGAGTTCAATCGCAGAAACGCGACAGCTGGGCTTCTGGTGGGGAAAAAAGGGAAGCTTACGGCATCTGACGGGAAACACGAGAGACCGGAGAAACCGGTCTGTTCAGTGTGTGTTCATGCAGAAGAACAAACAAAAAAACATAACAGCACAGCTTCCTATGAGGATGACTGAGGTTAACTCTAAAACTAGAGGCAGATCATTTAAGTGAGCTGAAAGTGGTGAAGTTGCACCGCATTTACATCCCAGAACCCTCGTCACACCACTCTCTCTGTCCCCGGGTTGCCAGTTCGTATCTCAGCCGTCACTATAAAATAATCAAAAGAATAATCCTTTAGGTTTCAGCGACTGTTCCGTTTTCTGATTAAGACACCGAAGAACTGTAAATGATTTGATTTCATTCCATGTCTGAATAAATGTGGACGTGTGCTGACATTGTCTTCATCCTTGAAAATATTCGGACTTAAAAATATGAGTTTTGGTAAAATAGATATTTATCACAATGTATTGCAGTACTAAAAATATGTTGAGACCGGAGTTGGCCTTGATTTCCGGTTTAGCCAGTCCGAGCTCAAACCAGTTTGATTTTGTGCAAACAGGCTGAACCTGTGCCGATGGCGCCTAAATCAGACTTGTGTTGCATTATAAATAAGCAATATGACAACTATTAACATCATATTATATTGCTAATGAACTAACGGAGCCACTAGCTGTGATATAGTACCCTGCTGTGCTCTGTTTTCTAGCGGCGGCGTGATGGAGAGTACGTTTCAGTGGAGGTGGAACTTGTTTCTTTACAGGGCTTGCAAAGGCAATAAAGTAGTCTATGACTGAGGTATGAGTTTACAGTTGGTTACCTCCTCTGCGTTGTGGAGGTTGGTTTATGACGTTATTCTGGCAACACTCCTCGTCTTTGTGCTTCTTCACAGTTAATTTTGTTCACACGTCCTCTGGCATTTTAGAGTATCTCGCAACAAATTTTGCCAACCCTCTTAACCCAGTGAGCCACGGTCGTCCCAAAATATGTATATAATAGATGAGCATACCGGTCCAGTGTGGGGTGTGAGCAAATGAACGGCGCTCGGAGCTGCAAAGCTTCCCTGTAATATCAATTGTGTTTGAACCCAACGCTAGCAGAGACCTACATTTAAAGTAAAATGTATATATTGTGTATATTGTGTCAGATTTCCTGTCTGAAGCTTGTCGTTTGAAGCCGCATGCATTTTGTCTATGTATCGGTTTTCCAATGACTTCATGGACAAGAGTGCTGAAATTTGTTAAGGGCTGGAAAACATTAAAGATTCAAGCCGCTGAGAGGAACTAATCAATAGCTTTCTTTTCCTTCCCTCTCTTTCATGCGACAGCTGTACTGCTGCTGTACCTAGGGTGGATTTGCGGAGCTGGTAGGACTCGAAGCTGTCCTGGAGACAGATGTAGCGCTTGGTGAGCTCCTCCTTCTTGTGATCCAGTCTGGGCTGCAGGGCCAGGTTTTGCTCCGCCAGGGTCCGGTTGCTGACCAGCGTCGTCTCCTTGCTCTGCTGGACTTCCTGCATCTACAAGGGAGACGACAAAAACAACACCATGTGAGAAAAATATGCAAAGCTAGTAGTATTTGTTTTTCTTTCATGCTGGATTTAAACTGAACCCGGGTGAGGGGAAGACGTCCTTCTCTGCAAATAATATTGATTCATTGCTGAGAAACATCCGAGAAATAAAAAAGAAAGTTATTGTAGTGAATATTAATCATCGCACTGAACCCGCCAGGTTTTTCCCACACGGCTCCCATGAGCCTCTTCCCATATTTTTAGAAAGACAAACCGGGAGGACAAATGTGTCATCGAGCTGCCCAAAATCAGCAGCCTCTCTTTACGACGAGAAGAGGAAACTTGAGTCTTCATTTTGCAGCATTATACAATGAGGGGCCAGAGGGAACAGACAACCGCAATGGCTGCCCCATTACTAAACAATGAACAGACCATCCGACTTGTTACAGCAGGAAAACCACAGGTGTATCCAATAATAATCATGGCTGCATTTCATTCAGGCGTGCAGGTACAGAACTACAGCAGTGAAATGCCTGGAAAAGCCTCTGCCACTCACCACCGGCTGCTCCTCAATGAAATCAAATATAAACACAAACACAATTAAGGCTGCAACTAACGATTTGTTTCATTATCGATTCATCTTTAAAATGTCAAAAAATAAAAGGTGTAAAATTGCCAGTTTGCAGAGAACTTCAAATGTCATGTTTTATTAAACCTAAACGGTGTTCACTTTGGCATTATTTACAATTAGGCGGAAACCTCCAGGTCTGAAAGTGAAGCCGATGCAGAAGTGCCTTAAAGCTGCATTCTCTCTAGTGTCCACCAGGGGGCGACTCCTCTGGTTGTATAGAAGTCTATGAGAAAATGACTCTACTTCTCTCTTGATTTATTACCTCAGTAAACATTGTAAACATGAGTTTATGGTCTCAATCTCTAGTTTCAAGTCTTCTTCAATACAGCATGATGTTCATTTAGTACATTATGGTCTATTTAGAGTCAAACAGACCATAAAGCAGGGGATGCTTTAGGGGCGGGGCTCCACAGTGATCGATAGGTCTCTACCACAGCGTTGTCCAGTCTGCAACTAGTCCGTGTAACAACTATTGTAACAAGTATTTTGTTCAGCATTCAGTTGAACTCAGCTCCACACTCATTTCACTTCTGGTTGCAAAAAACAAAGATGGCGACGGCCAAAAAGACGAACTCGAGCCTTCAAAACGGCAGTCAACAAACCAACGGGTGATGTCACGGTGACTACGTCCACTTCTTATATACCAGTTTATTAGTGGTGTAACGGACCACTGTTGATCCGTGATCCATACGGATCCCCTCTCGGTTCATCACGCATGTGAACCGTGGATTAATGACACAGTTTAACGTTAACATCAGTGTGAAATAAAGTTTTATTGACAATCGTTATCCGCCAATATTCAGTAAAATATGAATCAGGACATCTGTATTTATGCTTTTCTAGTCGCTGATCATGTTACATTGTAAACAACCAATTATTGTTTAACGTAATCATGATGTGTTCACATGTAATCTGTAAAATGTAGTGTTGGTGAGAAACTTGAATAAATCCAGTAGTTTGAAGGAGATGTTTTCACAGCAACATAAATAGATATTAGAGATGATGTATAACCTGTTTACATGAACTATCAACAGACTATAATACATCAATAAAACTACTTATGACAATTTTTATTTTATTTAATTTAATAAGATAGAATTTTTTATTTACATATTCGAATTATGCGTTTTTATGAAGAAAAAAACAATACATTTCTATGACAAAGTAAAAGGATAACTTCAAATTATTGGTCTGCACCGACTTGAGCGGTTCAAATGCTCCACTCCCTCCGTAAAAAAAAGGCTGAAATATAGGAAATGTAGGTTAAGAGCTCGTCTGGATGGACCACAGTCCTGAATTTTGGCGAGCTGGTGGAACAGCTCAACCACAAAGACTCGGGTCGCCGTAGTAATACACCTCTAAAATTAGAAGCACATTTTGCTTCAGCAATTCTTACGATCAAACTCATTTCAGTTGCACTCCTTTCTCTTGTGTGACCACTAGTTAAAAGCCACATGAAATCTCACAGGATGTCGTTACATAAGTGTGAAACAGGATGAGTCTGACACCAAGCTTTGGCTCCAGAACTCTGACCTACAAACGTGAATGATGTTCTGTGGAGTCCCCACTCTCGGCCAAAACCATCAAATTTGCTACTAGAAAAGTATTGAAATATTATTATTGGAGTTGGACTGCTAACAGCTTACTGCAGATGTGTCGGTATTAGGGCTGGGCGATGCGTTAAAAATGTCAATCTCAGCCCAACAACTGCCGATTGCTGATTTGTTTGTGCCAATAAATTTGCGAAATAGAACAACAAACATCGCCTGAAACAAAAAAGTTAACCAGCAACGTACTCAGCCATTCGCCGAATCGTCCAACTCTAAATCGGTAGATATGCAACAAGAGATTGCACAACAGAAATGGCAACCTGGCTTCGGCGTCATTCAGAAAGTGTTTCCATCACATACTTCGTCACCCAGACAGTACTCGCGAGTTGATGTTACATGTAAAATGTCCCGCTCAGTGTGCATCTTGCTCCAAAATCCAACAGATCCCATCAAGATTTATGATATATGTATGTTATAATAAATAACTATCAGCTGACATATGGTGATCATATCATTTTGAATTCCTACGTATCTATATCAGCATGAGCCTCTAAAGAATCCATTAAAACAGCTGCTCATCGAGGCACTTATTTGAACTGCTGCGATCATGCTCTGGATTAGCAAAGCCCCCCCAAACATAAGAAGCGAGAGATGATCCTCGGCTTAATCTCGACTCGCTTCAAAATGCAACGTAAAGTGGAAAGCTTAAAACGAGCCGTAAACATCGTGCGTTTGACGTCGGAGAACTGGGTCACCTGCAAATCGAGATCATGCTGGCTTTCAGCGCAGTGGACACTCACAGGGTGTCGCTGGAGAGATCCAACATTTTTTTTAAATATGTGCTGCTGCCTGAGCAAAGAAACAACTACTATTACACACGCATGTTGCCTTCTTGGGTATAAAAAGCGACACACGGCATCTACAGGTACGACAAAATTCAAGTTCAACTCACGTGAAAACAGGATCCACTGAATCTAAACAAATTCACGACAGAAGGATTTTGTATTATTCAAAAGGGCGACGCGTGCCGCCTTCAGTGCATTTTTTTTGCAAAACAGGGAGATTATGTCCTCCAGGGGAGCATGCGTCTGTACACCTCTGGCAAGAAGGGTACGTGTCTGCATACTCCAGCTGTGTAGTTCTCAGCGCTATCTGGTTTCACTCCACGTCCCATGACACCGCCTTTTGTTCCCGTACAGTCACAAAGAGAGGACTTCCCCCGGGCCGCTCCACCTCTGGCATGTCTTCACTTGTCTGCTTCATCTCTCCAGTAGAGTCTCATGACTTAACTCAAGTCAACAACTGCGGCGTCCTTTGAGGTACACGAGTCTCCTCCCTCTAAGTAAGCTACGGGGAACTGCAAAAAAAAAAGAAACCACTGGGGACGATGGGGACACAAGGGGTGTGGATCACAACAACAGAGCTGGCAACACGAAAAGGCCCAGCTAGCTGCACAACGTGCGTCCAAATGGAGAAATATAACTTGTGTGTGTTCTTTCGTGCTTTTTGTGAGGTGAAATGGATCCAAAAGCACTTAAGCTGACGTACAGCAGCTTTAGTTTCTCATGTTTGAGAAGAGCGGCTTTTGTTTTGTTTGTTTTTTAAAATCAGATATTAGCTAGAAGGAAAACACACAGCGCCATGACAATGGGCAAGAAGTCCCATTTTCTGACTATGTTTCTAATTATCGATTACTAAAAATAAAGTGTTCACACACACTACACACAGTGGGAAAAAGTCCCCCAACACCGGGGATCTGCCGGGAGCTGATTCAGCCCCACACCGCTGGAACTGACTACTTTGGAAACAGAGTGGGAAATAATCTGGAGCGCAAATCCTGTATAAAAAAAGAAGGGGGAAATAAAATGAAAAAACCTTTCCAAGAGCTATGGTTTATTATCGGTGTGTGTGTGGAAACACTGAGGCTTATCATCAGACTGGTGAAATGATAAGACTGCAAAGCAGGTACACCTTCATTGGAAAGTGCTGACTCCTTGTGCTGCTGGATCGAGGCCACAAAGAAAAAGAAACGGCCCAACGAACTCTGAAATGTCAATTAATGGTGCTTTTGCCAACTGCCTCACGTGCCTTCGTCGTGTGAAACCACTTTAGACATATTCTGAATGAACAAAGTAATCTGGTGAATTCGGCATAGCTTTATTCAACGACACGGCAACTAATAGCTAAGAACATCTCTGTTGTTGCGTTAGTACTAGTCATTGTTCCGGTGTCCACCGAGCTCAGTCGTGTTGTAGATGCGGCTGTTCAGTCATGTGCTCCTCGGTATCGGTCTACCTGCGCCGTCACTCAGAAATTGGCAGTTTCGTGAGAGGAGTTTCGCGCGACGACCTGTCTGACAAGTGTGAGGAAGCTAGGCCATAGCTTCAATACTTACTGAGAATGACTCAGCCTTCATTAAACAGTCTTCTTGTCCACATACTACTGAACGTAAACGAGCTTCGACACGTCGTAAACTGGTCCCCTCTGAGGGTTCAACTTGAGACAATGCTCCGCTCCCAAGGTTAACGACTTGTGCCTTATTTTGTTTTCCAGAACAATGAAGTTCAGTTGACAACACATATTAGTGATAAGAATCCTCAACGTGATTCGAAGCAGCCATTACTGAACCGTAGGAGACGCTGTGAAAGCACAACAAAGGGTTGAGGGGAAAGAAAGAAAAAAACCAGTGACCGAGAAAAAGGAGTCAGTAGCTAACGCTGGACTACAAAGCCGATCGCTTCACGTACCTCGTCCATCTCCTGGACCATTTGTGTGAGTTTTTCGTCGTCCTCTAGAATTTCGTTGAGTTGAGTCATCGAGTAGGCGCTGAACTTGTTGTTAAAACTCGACATTGTAGCTCTGGTTGTGTGCTTCTCTCCGCCTGAGATCCTCTTCTCGCTGCTCAGATTGTGACAGCTGACTGAGCTTCTCTTACAGGAAGTAGAGTCAGGCCCAGTGCTGCCTTCACGTGCTGTCGGACATATGGCGTCCAACGGTAAACCTCACAACGAGTGTCGATTGCGGAAAAAAATACGGTGTATCTAAATATTTTACCAAATTCGACGGTGTCAGCTAATTAAGATTATAATAACATAAATAAAACATACCAATCTTTTTTTAATCATTCGAATATTATTTAAAGATATAATAAATATCTTATTTGTAAATTAAAGTCATCACAGAGGAGACATTAAATGCAGCATTTGGTATTATTAGTGCCCGAGCACCGACAATTTCGGGCCGTGAGATCCCTATTGAAACTGAAGGAATTACTATTATTATTTGTCTGTCCACGGAATCGCCTTTTTGGGGGCTTTATCATATCCCGAAACTCCCCATATTTGGCGAGCATATCAGGATTGCGGTAAAATTTGATATTTTATGGGTCTCGTACTCGAGTCTGACAAAATTGCTCGCTAGCGCCCCCTATAAGTTTGACCGGCGGCGCCTCTCACCCAGTAGTATGTCCGATTTACTTGAAATTTGACACACATGTCCAGCTCCGCCTATTCTATATATACACGTTTTTGCCACCTCCTCCTACACGCTGGGTCTGATTGGTACCAAATTTGCTGTGGATCATTATTGGATCTATATCATCAAAAGTTACAAAAAGCTTGTTGATATCTCATTGCACTAAGAATATATGAACCAATGAACTTAATAGGGCCATGGCCTTCTACAGCAATATATATAACTTCAAAACCATGTGGCCTATCATCACGAAATCTGTAGCATATGTCCACATTGTGTTCTGTAACATACCCTCAAATTTTCATTCCATACAATAACTAGGGGGCGATACAGTAATACAACCATTTTTATTCATTTTTCATTGTTTTCAGGAGTGGTACTTTAACAAATTCCTCCCACAGAATTTATGCGATCGACTTCAAATTTGGTCAAGATGATCTAAAGGCATGTCTCTTGGAACCATGCTAAAAAACTAACAGGAAGTTGGCCATTTTGATTTTTGTGTGAATTTTCCCTTGACTTCTAGTCGCTATACTGTGTGCCATCTTCATTTACTATTAACCTGTAACATATACACAATATTTACACATCTGAACAAATCTCACAAGTGTTACCTTTATTATAACATAAAAACTATTAAAATAGACCTTGTAGTTACAGATTTACAGTCTTTTTAGTATGGGTATGCAATTTTCGAGCAGAGGCCTAAAAATAGGGCTAGGGCCCAATGGGTTAACAAACTCCTCCTCGAGACTCCCTTTCATATTTGGTCATTACAATCTAAAGCATGTTCTCTAGTGCCACATAGTGGATACAGGAACTATTGGAATATGTGCACTACATGATTTCCAACATCACACACTCCAAGCATTAAAAATACGTCTAACTTTTGGGCGCGCTGTCGCAGATATTTATGGCTGCGTCTGCCGGCGTCCCGCCAGTACCCCCGATGTGCGGGAGGATGCGAGAGCCCGTACATCGCTGCTTGCAGCTTTAATTTATGTTTGTTTCCATAAAGGCCAACATACAGTTTATTTACATATAGTTTATATTAAGTGATTTATAAAATTTCATTATTTATCTCTGGTCATTGATTTATCCCCATGACAGACAATCATATATCTCTGTAGTGAATTCTATTCAACAGACAAAGGCACCCGTCTTTTCTTTGTAGTCATTACAGCACTTGTTGAATTACCAATGATGCAATTGAACAACACATTTCTACACGTGCCACTGTGAAATCCTTATAAAAGCAAAAAAAATCCTGAGGAAGACGTAAGTAAAACAATAATTTATCTGTCTGGATTGTAATGACAATTCAAAAGAATTAACACAACCAGTACTACAGTACATTAACTGCAACATTTTGCCTATCATTGAAGCTGATGTATCAGTTAGTGATAGTGGACATTCATTTATTTCCAGTGGTAATACCAACTCTCTGTGATGTGTCATCATACATTCAAATATATTTTTTGTATTTTTCAAGAGTGTTTTGAGTGTTCTGTAGTGTAAATTTAGTCTGAGGATCAACTGTACATATGGAATTCATACACATAAATCCCGGAGTGTCCAAAACAAAATAATTCTATTAAACCCTCAAAAACATCCAGCAGTCCATTCCCACACACTGCAGTTCAATCTCAGTAGTGCACAATGCACTCTGGCTCGCTGCTGCTTTGTCTCCTCCGCTGCCGTCCGCCGCCAGACTTCCGGTTGACTCCTTCGGCCGGGTTGAGGACCTCCTCCCCCGTCTCGATGCCCAGAACCTGCCTCTGCACCAGCTTGCAGTAGAGCCCCCTGCCGGCCATCAGCTGAGCATGAGACCCCTGCTCGGCCACACGGCCCCTGTCGATCACGACGATGTTGTCCGCCCTCTCCACTGTGCTGAGCCGGTGGGCGATCACCAGCACCGTGTGCTCCCACATGATGTCGTTCAGAGCCGTCTGGACCTGCGGCAGAGAGACGCCGGCGGTCAAACAAAGTGGTCCCTGAGACAGCTCAAAGTTCACCAGCGCAACCTTTTTACTTACGATGTGTTCGCTCTCCGCATCCAGGGCGCTGGTCGCCTCGTCCAGGATGAGAACTCGAGGGTTGCGGATGAGAGCTCTCGCGATGGCCACCCGTTGTTTCTGCCCCCCCGGACAACTGGGTGCCTTTCTCACCAACATCTGGGGAACGACATGGAGCGATAATTCAGCTGCATGACTTCATCTTTACTAGGCACTTCCTTTTTGTTAATAAAACAATAACATGTACGTAGGTACCCATAGTGCTTTTCAATACTAAGTAATATTTGAGATGTTATTGGGGACAAGATCCCGCTGAGCCTAAAGGTGAACGAGACCAGTGCAGGGAGGCTATTGTGAGGGCGATAGTTTAAATTCTAACCCTAAAATAGTATTGACTCGGGTAAGTATTGCCAGCAGTGTGCGAGATTCGGGCCCTTCTCGATGCTTGAGACCCCTAAAAAGCATCAACAGCAACATTTTGAGGGGGTCTCTGGAAAGAACGTCACTAAAATGTACTTTTAAAGCTTACTATATCCAGCAGTAGTTGTTAACCATCGTTAATATAAATTTCTGTTCCAACCACATCTACCGCCATCAAAACAGGAAGTCAGTCGAGAAGTAGTAAAGTTGCTTGATTTGATTGGCTGCCTCGGTCATTTGTGACATTGACTTGTGGTGCTGAAAAGTTGAGAATATTTTAACTTTTATACGCGTCTCAAAAACCCCAGAAAAAGGTGTACACTAGGTGCTCCATACCGTAGGAAAACAATGGTTTAGCGGGCGACACGTTTCTAGCCTTTTTTGTTGAGGAAAAATATGAATCAGCCCCTCTTTATCAACAATACTGCCGATTGTCTCCTGTAATGATGACCTGTCTCATAGCCTGTAGGCAGGGCCTTGATAAAATCGTGAGCATTAGCCTTGGTGGCAGCCTGCACCACATCCTCCATGGGGATGTCAGTCAGGCCGTAGGTGATGTTCTCCTCCACCGTCCGGGCAAACAGCACAGGTTCTTGGCCCACAAGGCCTACCTGCAGAAACAAACAGATGGTTTATGTGTGAAAGACACTTAAAATAGCTCCCGACTAAAGTTAGAAATCCCTAGAAAACCCTGACTTACAATAAGCTAAGTTGCAAAGTACTGAGGGACAGACTAACGCATTATTAGTCGTGGTCTTTTCATTCGTTTGATCTGATGACAATACGTCTCATCATTAACAGGGACATGTATCAATCACATTGCTATAGACTGACCTTGGAATGGAGGTAGTCGTGGCGCAAGGCGTGAACAGGCTTTCCGTCTAGCAGCACCTGGCCCTTCTGGGGAAGGTAGAAGTTTTCCAGCAGACTCACACAGGAGCTCTTCCCGCTGCCTGAAGGTCCCACGAGGGCGGTGACCTCCCCGGGCCTCAGCGTGAAGGACACCCCCTGCAAAACACATCCATTCAGGAAGTAAACTTGAGAAAGTTGATAAGCAGTATCAAAAAAACAAAAGAAAGGAAGTGGGGTGGGTGTGGTGCTCGGTTCAAGGCTATAGGACAGGGGTCCCCAACTGGCGGACCGCGGTCCGGATCCGGACACAGACGCAGTTGCATCCGGACCTAAAATCGATAGTTCGGAATCATACATATTAGGCAGCGAATTTGTACTTTAACCGGCGCATCTTATTTAGCCTTTACGGTACTTGTTCAGCAGTGCAGGACACACCGACCAATGCGTTGTGAATCACATCACGTGATGCAGCTCAGCCAATCAAATATGGGTATTCTGACAAGTTTCCTGACTCGAGTGAGATGAGATGTACACACACCGTGACACACGGGGAGAGACGAGGAGAGAGAAAGAAGAGCAGGAGAATTGTCCTAATCAGAGAAGTTATCTCACATGACGTTCTCCAAAAAGAGAAACGAGTTCAGAGAGAACAGCATTTATAAGCAAGAATGAACAGAATCTTCTATGTTAATTCTTCCCACAGGCAGTTAAAACCAGCATGTCTCACATGTTCAGAAACCTTAACTATTGATTAAAGCGGTAAATGAAGCGCACTACGAGACAAAGCACAACTCTTTTGAGCAAACGTATCCACCCACATCTAAATGACACAGAAAATAAACCTGAGAGCCCAAAATGACCAGAATCCTAACACAGTAATTCACTGACCAACAATGATGTTAACATAGAGAATAGAGCTAAACAAGTGTTAATAACCACAGAAAGTCCTGTCACTGATTTATCTTTTTAAATGACAAAAATATAATATTTTGGCTTTTTATTGACATCACTTCACACCTGAATGAACTGAATTTAAAGCTGCAGGACAATTCAGTGAAATGAATTTTTCTAAAATGAATTACTTTATTTTATTAAGATGCACATTCTTGAAAAGCTTTCTGTTATGTCAGTTATTCTTTAATCAGACATTATTGTACTTGAAAAGAGAAGAACATTTATGTATGTATTTCTATGTATTATTTATAATCCATCCAGTTAAATTTGAAAAGTGAGAATAATAATTTGTTAAAATATAATTGATGTGTACTTTCTTTGTTACTACTAATAGACTTCTTGAATATACATACATACATACATACATACATATACATATACATACATACATATACATATACATACATA